CCCCCCAGAGCCAGTGAGCCAAAAGAAAGAGATGTTTTTCCCCCAATTTTTTTTACTGTGACAAAATACATAGTAACATAAACTTTACCATCTCAAGCCATTTTTAAGTATATAGTTCAGTGGTATTGAGTGCATTCATACTATTGTGTACCCATCACCACTATTCATCTCCAGAACTTCTTCATCTTGCAAAACTGAAACTTTATAGTCATCCAACTATAACTCCCTACTCCACCCCCTCGTCCCCTGGCACCTACCATTCTGCTTTCGGTTTCTATGAATTTGCCTACTCCAGGTGCCTCATACAAGTGGAAGTATATCTGTCTTTTGTGACTATCTATTTCACTCACCATTTTATCCTAACAGTTCATCCATGCTGTAGCCAATGTCAGAATTCCCTTCCCTTTTAAGGCTGAATAATATTCCATTATCACAATGTCTTTCTATCATCCAGCCTTGGAAGTCACACACACTGTCACTTTTTCAGTGTCCTATTGGTCACACGGATCAGCTCTGTTCACTAGGGCAGGAGACAATACAAGACCGTGAATACCAGGAGGGGAGAATCACTGGAGCCACCTTGGAGGCTGGCTACCACAGAACTGAGGCCCACAGGCTTAGAGATTTACCTAAAGTCACACAACAGGCCAGAGGCAGTCCCAGGATTGGAGCCTGGATCACATGACACTCTGTGATCTCACTGCCCCCAGTCCACACCTGGACATGGCTTCCACCGGTGAAGGAAGCGGTGCCTGGTGGGGTGGAGACTGCCTGGGCAGAAGGTCAGGAGGCCTGGGCTAGAGTCTCCATTCTGCCACTACCTCACCGCGGGACCTTGGGCAAGGCCCTGCCCCTCCCAGAGCCTCAGTTTCCTTAGGAATCGGGCAGGGGCAATAGTAACTACCTCCTGGGTCATTGAGATAAAGAAAGAAAATTAATACATCATATAAGGCTTAGTCCACAGACAGGCAGAAATAATACATTACCCTCTTTGTAAATTTTTTTCATGTTTATTTACTTACTAAGGAATCATTTCATGTGATAGTTATAAACGTATGAGAGGGTATGCAAGGAAAATCTCCCTCTCACCCTGTCCACCAGCACCCCAGTTCTCCTTTCCAGATGCAGTTACTAGTTTCTTGTTGAAATATCCCATTTCTTTGTTTTCTCATATTCCCCTAATTTCCAAGGACCTGCTGAGCAGGAGAGAATGCCAGCTCAGCCCCTCTTGGGGCTGGAGAGCCTGGGGCAGGCCTGGCACCAAGGCATGGATGGGGCAGGGGGCGGGGCCTTCCAGTTATCCATTGTCCAACCAGCTTAGCAACTGTGGACACGTGCCTTGTCCCAGGCATGTAGAATCCTTGGAGCAAAAGGAAGGAGCTGGGATTTGAACCCATGTCCAGAGCCTGAGCCCTCAGCCCTCTATTGCTCCACCAAGTTCAGGGCGTCGTGCCTTACAGCATTAGAGAGAACATCAAAACTGCAAGTGTGTAACTGCCCAACAATGATGAATAGCAGAGCCTCTCACTGGAATAATATGTATTACTTAACATTTTAACTGTGGACATTTTGGAGATATTAAAAATTCTTAAGCCATAAAGTTAAAAATAAATAAATCCTAGACACAGCTAAGGCACCACGTCTTTCAGGGGACTTTGCAGATCCCTTCCCCCATCAAAGGCAGGACTGGGTGTTCCCTCTGGCCTCCCACAGCCTTCTGAACCTGTCCCATCACAGCCCTTATGGCACCAAGCTCTAACTTCCAGTGACTTCAGTGAACTGGTTAACCTGGCAAACATGGGAGCCAGACAGCCCAGGCTCACATCCTGGCTCCTCTGCTTTGTGACTGTGTAACCTTGGGCAGGTTATTCCACCTCTCTGTGCTTTATGAACTGGTGCTAGCAACAGCTACTTTCAAGAACTGGAGTGAGGTAAATGTGTTGTCTCTTGCAAACTCCTTGTTATAGTCAGTAATGTGTGTTACTTCCTGTGGCACAGGCCTTTCTGCACCAGACTGTAAGCTCCATGCAGGCAGCAACCTCGTCTCAGCAACGTGTGTCCCAAGCACCCAGCACAGAGCCTGACATGAGGTATGTACTCAGGGTTGCTGAATGAAGCCAGCCATTTTTCCACAAATATTTATTGAGGGGCTTCTCTGTGCCAGCTCCTACAGAGACGAAGGTGAATGAGAAAGACATAGTCTGTGTTCTAATAGGGTTTCTATTCCCAAAGAGGAGACAGACAAATAAATGGGCAAATAAATAAACAAGAGGACATAGGCTACTGTTCAGCATTGCGGAGAAAATGATACAGCTGGTGATACTGCATGACTGGGGAGTATTACTCTAAATGGGCAGTCAGGCAAAGCATCCCAGAGGCGGTGATTGTAAAACAAGATCTAATCGACAAGAAGGAGCTAGCCACAGGAAGAGCCAGATGAACAACCTTTCAGGAAGAGGGCACTGCAAGTGCAAAGACCCTGAGGCAGGAACATTCTTGGGAGGCCAGCTCAGCTGGAGAGGGGTGAGTAAGAAAGGTGGTCGTTAGGAGGAGGGAGAGTTCAACAGGGCCCATTGCACAGGACTGTGTCAGGTAGGGTCACTCTGAGAGCCGTGGGCTGCCACACAGGGCGTAAGCCAGGGAGAAACATGCTCCTTGCATCCAGAAGCCTCCCACATAATCATGACAGTCCCTGCCTAAATCTAGAGACATCTGCTCATCCAAGGCAGCATTCGAGCTCAGCCCACAGTGGCTCAACTCAGGAGTCAGCGCCATCCGTCCTTGTCTCAGCCTCCCTGCAAGCCAGACTCATGGCTCCATGAATATAAATGAGGCCTTTTGCTGACTCGATTTCCAAATGAATCCAGACATTCAAGATCTCTATTCCAGAAAATGTGAAGTTTATGTAGTGAAAATTAAAAGAGAAATTGGGTAAGTGCCTTCTTAAGTGCCTGCTTCCTGGGCAAGTGAGCCAGGTCTGCGCATACTGGCAGGAGATGGATGAAGGCGCCTCCCAAGGGCTGCTGGGAGCCTGTGACCAGCAGGGATGCAGGGAGCACATTGGCTGCAGGCAGGGGATGAAGTCCCATTGTCTCAAAAGAAGAGCCATGATAATCATAGATCATGTTCACTGTTCACTGCTTCGTGTCCAGCCCTGTTTCAGGCATTTTACTTATATTGGCTCTCTCATTTAACCCTCACAACCACCTGATGGGATAGACATTACTATTTTTCCCATTCTACAGATCGGGAAACTGAGGCTCATCTTGAAAAAATGACTTGATCAAGGTCATGCAGCAAAATAGGGGCTAATTTGAGACTCACTTCTTTTGTCCATTACCCCTGCAGAACCTCCTGTCCAGAACTCAGACAATGCACAATGGAGGAAAGGATCAGGAATCTAAGCTCAAACCACCAACCTGCTGTGTGACCTTGGACAAGCCACTTACCTCCTGAGGACCAGTTCCCTTATAGTCATCACCTCTTCTCCACAGAGTTCATCTCTGAATTAAAAGAGATAATGTATAAAGATACCAGGCACAGGATTTCAGATGCCCTCTTAAACTGGTTTTTTTGTTGTTGTTTTTTATTGTAAGCTCTTAGAACTGGGAAGTCCTAGAATAGCTTCAGGTATGGCAGGATCTAGGAGCTCTAATGATGTCATAAATGTTGTTTTCTCTCTGCATGTTGTGGAACCCTCAGTAGGAGCTCCAGGTTCTATCATTCCTACAACTAGAAATCTTAGTTGCAAAAGAGCTTTTTCCCAACAGGGCAGCAAAAGTACCAGGATTCACTGATTAGACTAACAGGGGTCATATGCTTATCCTATAACAAACCTCTATAGCCAGAGGGATGGACTGTGATGACTGGGTCAGCCAGTTCCCATGCCCACCCCTGGAGCTAGGAGAAGGGATACAGAACGCCCACACTGAATCACTTAGACTGTGGAGGGAGAGGCTAGGCTCCCCAAGGGAAAAGAGGGGTGCTGTTATGAGAAAAAAAAGGAATAGCCCAGGAGGAATACCAAATGGTGCTCCTGACACATAGTAGGCCCTAAATAAATATAAGTTCAATCAAAAAAACAAATACCTACCCCAGAGGATGGTTGTAAGGGTAAAACACAATAATATATACAAGTTCCTGTCTTAAAGGGACAAAAGATGCCGAGAATGGGTTTGGGTTTCTGGTCATGTGCTGATAAAAACAGATGCTGGGAGAGATTAGACGGAAAGGTTTCCCCTGCCTCAGCCAGGCCTCCCCCACATTCACTTTCCATCCCTGGGGCAGAGCGGGGTCAGGACCAGAGTGAGGGGAGTGAGGTACCCGCCATGGCATAAAATGTAAGGAGACACCAAAAAACCCCATAATCAAGCTCTCAGAACTGGAAATCAGATCAATAATATTCTTAAAAATTAATATGAATACAAAAATTAATGATAAATAAATACTAACATTTTAAATAAGACATATCCATATATGGACACTATATATCACTTATATCCAAATGTCCAGACACATGCACATATGGACATATTCACAGACGTATTTTATATTTTTACATATAACTATGTACAGGGCCATTGAGTTACACGCCTCCAGGGGTCCCATTCCTTTGTAATCTGCATGAATGGCATCCCCTGATCTATGCAGGCACAGCCCCTGTGGCTGAACACAGCAGTCCTGTGTGTGAACACACACCTCCATGCACATGTAAATGCTTAACTACCCACCTATCACTAAATGAGTACCACATAAAACCACATGTGCAGACATGCCAAAAGATATAACTACACAATACAGTCTCATAATGCTCGTTTGCCTGCCTCAGGGACTTTGCACTTGCTGTTCCCGCTGCCTGGGCTGCTCTTGCCCCAGATAACCACGTAGCAACCTCTCTTGCTTCCTTAAACTTGTGCTCAAAGGTCACTTTTTCAGTGAGACTCTGACACCCCCACATCCTACCTCTGTCTAAAGTTACAACCTCCTCCACAGTCCATATCCCCTAACCTTGCTTTATTTCTCTCCTTTACACTTAAAACCATCTGACATAATATGTGTTTTCCTTTTTATCATATTTAAGGTCTATCTACCCTGATAGAATGTCAGCTCTATGCAGGCCAGGATTTTTGTCTGCTTTGTTGACTGCTGTGTTCCCAGCCTCTAGAACACTGCCAGGCACATAGTGACTATTTAATAAATATTTGTTAAATGAATGAAAAATGTCAGGGAAGTGGGGATCCCTGAAAACAACTGAGACCAAATTTTCCACTACCCCAGCAGGAAAGCAACCCGCAGTCAGATGTAAGTTGGTTTCTAGAGCTAAGTAACAATGCAGGGTACATTCTCAGTGCTGTCAGAGTGCTGCCTCATGTAAGCATCTCAACAGCCCCACTGTCTGTCTACTCCCAGTTTACACTGGAGGCAGCTAAGGCTCTAAGAGGGTAATTCACTTGCACAGGATGTCACAGTACAGAAGTGGTAAAGGCAGGTTCAAACCCAGGTACCCTGGGTCCTTAAAGCCCAGACTTTCCCCCTACACACACGTACACACACACACACACACACACACACACACACACATACATACATAGAGGTGAGACACTCACATGCACACATACACACACTTATTTAGTATCACTAGGTCCCTCTAGCCTTCAGGAAATTTTCAGAAATTAGAACTCCTTCTCCCATACTGGGTATTTGGGATCCCCTCCACCCATCATCCTTACTGCATGCATTTGTCTTGACAATGGCCCTCACTCCTGTAAATAGTCGCATCTTCTGGCTCCCTAGTTGCCTCTTACCATGCTCAGAGGCTATTCCCTGGGCCTTACTCCATGCTTCACCCCTTCTGGGTGTGTGGGTAGTTCTAAAGGTCCACATGCACATTCTGTTCCCCCCATGGGGCCACAGGAAGCTTGGAAGCAGGCCTCCCCTTCCCTCCCTGCCCCTTCTTGGCTATGTGACCTCGAGCAGTCATTTCACCTCCTGTCCCTGCCTTACATGGTAGAGATGAAGAGTTAATGAGTTCGTTCATTCATTTAACACATAATTATTGAGCATCTTCCATGTGCCGGGCAATGGTCTAGATATAGCAATGACCAAAACACATGAGGTCTTCTGTGAGACAGACCACAAACAAGTTCTGGAAAGAAAACAAGATAGGTGAATGTGTATGACTGGAGGGAGCAGGGCAGGAACTACTTTACTTAGGGTGGTCAGGAAAGACCTCTTGAGAAGGTGACTTTTGGGCTAGACCAGAATCAGAAGATCACCATGCAAAGATACAGGGAAAGAGTATTCCAGGAAGGAAGTACAGCACATGCAAGAGCCCTGAAGCAGAGATGACTTGGTCTCTATAAGGAACAGAAGGCCCTTCCCTCAAGACAATGCTCTTAACTCTAGGAGGGCAGGCCCGAGTGTGAACCCTGAGGCTGCAAGTGGAGAGAGAGAAAGTGAACATTGACAGGGGATGTCGCTCAAGATGGCAGGAGGGAGTGAGCTCACCCAGCGGCCGCAGATCCAGCTTCCACCTCCTGCAGGGCCAGACTTGGGCTCTGAGCCTCTGCACCAGGTGAGAGCAAAAGGAGAGCAATAACAATACAGCAAGTTGTATATGCTTTACGCATACTAACTGGTCCGATCTCCATATCTCTAAGAGAGAAGCCACTATTATCATCACCATCTCCACTTTACAGATGGAAAACTAAGGCAAAGAGCTACTTGCCCAAGGTCGAATGGGTATTGATTGGCAAAGCTGAAAATATGGCAGCTCAGCCTGTGACCCCAAACATCATAAGCAAAGGGACTCAGTTCAAAGCCTGTCGAGTGGTGGACTGAAGCACGTGCCCTATACAGGGCACCACAACCCAGCTCCAGCCTATTGTTGGCAGCAAGTGGGAATGTGGACCCACTATGGCAAGATTTCTAACTTCGCAAATACTCCAGACTTTTATGTGAAGTCTCCTGATTTTAAAACGTGGCCTCAATTGTTTGTTTTAAATATCAGGCAGTCCAATAAAACAGAGCATCATTCTAGACATCTAGGTGGGAGCAGTCACATAATTGCTGGCCCAATGCAAAATGAAAATGCAGGATCCCTTTGTTCAAAAATTATCAAGATTTTCAAGATGGGAACAGCAGAGCATTAAACCAAGCATAGGCCCTTCGGAGCACAGGTCCTGTGCAACTGCCTCAGTGGCACATCTGTGAAGCCAGCCCTGCCTCTAAGGGAGGCACTTCCTAAACATTTGTGGAATCAAATGGAAGAGAGGGAAAAGGAAGGAAAACAGACATGAATTCAGCAGCTATTGCACGTCAGACATAGCTTTATACAATAGCTAACGCCTACCACGCTCACTGCGTGCCAGGTGCTGTGAGCATTAATGCATTTACACCTCACGGCAGCGCTATATATTCATTTCTGTTGTCTAGATGAGGAAATCAGGGCTTGGGGAAGTGAAGTCGTTTGGTTATCGCTCATACTTGACAGAAGAGATCTGATGTGGTGGGATGACAGAGAACAAAGGGGAGGAAGGGAAGAATCAGAAAGGGAGACAAACCCAAGAGGAATAGAAGCCACTTTGGGTCTCTCCCCCAAGCGAGGCTGCACACAGGTGTCTGCCAAAGTTGTGTGGAATTTGGGGAGGCCATCAAACCACGGAGAAGGGCCTGTGGCGTTTCGGAACCATGGTGCCATCCGCCCGGGCTTGGCTCCTCTCCGGCAATCCAATTACTAAACACAGCCACATTCTTTAAAAATGTCTTTCCCCTTATGTAATGCCATAGCAACAACGCCAAACAGATGGTGCTGTGACAAGCTTTTTAAAAGCTGATTAGGAGCTCATCTTTCAGAATTAATGTATGGGCATTTAAACGAGCTTCAGCCTTCCACAAACGTCCATCAGGAATCCATACAAGATAAATCGCTTGATGGACTGACCACGCTCACCTCCACCCCAGCCAGAGGTTGATGTGACAGGTAGTCAAGTTGACTTGTGAGCCACAGTCAGAAGATACCCGGTTTGGATGGACTGGAGAAATACCTTGGGCCTCTCCCAAGCCCAAAACCTAGAGCCTACCAAGACCTTTTTTTTCAAACTTTTGCATCATCTTCAAGAGAGTGGACCATCTCTCTCTCCCAAAGGAAAATGGGTTAGTCACAAACTATGTCAGATGCCGCCAGCGAGCTGCTTCCCACCACCACCACCCTCCTTCCTCGGTGTTCAGGGATGAGATCATTCCATTTGGAGCCAAGTATAGATGGAGAATGCTGGGGATGTGCAAAGAAACCTCCTCAGAGTTCTTCCCTCCCACCATCACAAGCTGTACCTGCCAGGACAGGAAGGAACAGAAGGCTGAGCGTCCAGCCCCAAGTTCAGTCTCAGGGTTTCTGCAGGCCATGCATTCCTAAGCCACAGACTGGCTCTGTTAAACTAGGCTGCTGTGCTCTTGGCTAAGTGACATCTGTTGGCCTCAGAAGTTCAGAGCTGGATGAGTCTGTACAGAGGCTCAGAGAGGGGAAGAGACTTACTCAAGGTCATCCAGCAAGCTGGTGGCAAAGCCAGATAGCTAGATGGTAGCCCCTCCACCTCCCAGGAGGAGCATGTCTATTGTCTTGGACCTACCCAGCTCACATTCCTGCTGCCTCTAACCCCAGCATCCTGCATTTTCCTTGGGAAACTATCCCTTCCCCACTCTTGATCTCTGTGGTTCAAGTAGGAGTGACCCCTCCCTACCTCCAGGAATGTGCACCTGGCCTTGTCCCAGCTGGTCAGCAGTCCAGGTTCAGGGATGAGCATGTGAGATGAGTCAGGACAATAAGCAGGAACCCCAGGATGTCAGCAAAGGCAAAGGCCTTTGGGAATGAAAAGCTCTCTTCCTTTTGGTGAGGCTGAACTGGGAGGAAGAAAGCCCAGAGCTCCTGGCAGCCACCGCAAGGTATCTGCCTGAGAATGACGCCAACACAGAGGAGAACAGGGCCAAAAGAAAATGACACGACAGCTTCCACCTTTTAATCTCCTGGATCCAGCCATGCCTAAAGACAGAAACATTCTGGACATTTTAATGATATTCATCTATCAATTTCATTTTTTTTGCTAAAGTTGGTCGAGTTGAGTTCGGCACTCATCCCCCAAAAGGCCTTGGCTTGAGGCCCTTCGGGGTGGGCCAGGTTCCAGGAGCACCACACCGCACACGCTCCACCTCCGTCCTCACCATATTTCTGGTGGGTTCTTTGCAAGTGTTGGCTGGATGGAGACAGCTCTCCCTCTCCGGCAGATTCCCTGACTCTATACAAGCTCCAGCGACACACTGCAAAGTGAACAGCTAAGTGACTGTCCCACCTCACAGTCCCCAGAGACTGCTCTGCCCCCTGGGGACCCGTAGCCAAGCCGCTCCCCGCCACAGGAGCCTCTGCCTTCCTGTTCCGTCAGGAGCACAGGCTGTGGAATACAGTTCAAAGCCCAGCCCCAGCATTCCTAATCATGAGCCTTCGTCCACGTTACTTGACTCTCCTGAGCCTCAGTTCCCCTTCGGTAAATGGGAAAAGGATTGCCTACCTTAGGTGTTCTTTGAGATTATTAAAACAGACATCACTATTTGGGGGCAGAAAAATGATAGCTACAAGGGACTCTAAAAGGTATGTACTGCGGAACTCGGGCAGTCTGCTTCGGAAGACAGCAGCTGAACACATAAAATGAGTTCCACGTAAAACAGCCTCCTGTGGCCCAAACAAGGGGCAGAGGCAGAGAAAGGCTGCTTCAAGGGAACCTGGCCTGGATGTGAGTCGGGCAGCACCCTCACTGGCCTCCTGGCCAGTCTGCCCCTCTCTCCCTCCATTGTGCCAGCTCCTCACCCTCAGATTGGCACACACAGGTGTTGCTGAACCGCTTGCCCAGTGACTCATTCACACTCCCAGGGAGGGGGTGCAGTGATTCCCAGGAGTGCCCAGAGTCCTGATTTAGGACAAGGGATTGAGTAGCAGCAACATGTGGGCCATTTCCTGCCCAGCCCAAGGACAGCTGAAAGATACATGCCCCCCACCCCTGCCAGCTCCATCCTCAGAGCTCCTGAGTCCACTGGCAGGGAAAGCTGGGCTGGCACACTGGGAGCCAGGAGTGGGAGGGAGCCACAGCTCCCCCAAAGTTCTCCATGCATCACAGTGGTCCCGAAGTGGGCCCATCTTTGAAACTGTTTTACTCAAACCCAAGATGGGACATTAAGTAATTGATTCCAGTAGTGATCTATGCTACAAGATGGATGAACTTTGAAAGCATGATGCTGAGTGACAGAAGCGAGCCACAAAAGACCATTTGTATGATTCCATGTAATGAAATGTCCAGAAAAGGCAAATCCATAGAAAAAAGCAAGTAAATTAGTGATTGTTTAGTGACTGCTTAGGGCTGGATGGGGCCTGATGAGTGAGGAGTAACTGCTAATGGGTTAAGAGATCTCTTTTAGGAGGACAAAGAATGTTCTCCAATTCGAGGATGGAGTGGCTTTGCGATCCTATGAATATACCAAAAAGGACTGAATAGTAGAGTTTAAATGAGTGAACGGTATGATATATGAACTTTATCTTGATGAAGGTATTCAAGAGTGTATTAGTAACAGTTGACTCCCAAGGGGAGAAAATTAGCCCCTTTTCAAGTCTGTTGTAATTCTTCCAATCTGTCAGTGAGCAAGTCTTCATTAGATCATCGTGTTGTCCTTACTGTCTCTCAAACACATGGTATTTTCTCGTGAACAAGGAGAGAACAGGCTTCAGGCTCAGCTCCTCAGGCAGGCAAAAACACATAGCCAGACCTGTTTGGTTTCCATTGTATTTATTTTTCTGATTGCCTTCTAATTATGGCAGCTGATTGTTTACCTATTCCCTCATTTATTTATCTGACAAATATGCACTGAGCATTATTACATGTTCCAGGGAACAAGATAAACCAAAAACCCTGCCCTCATGAGCTGATGTGCCCTAGCAGGGAATCTCAGCAGTAGGCGTAGCTCTTGAGTTCACATCCCCACTCTGTCACTAACTGTGTGACCTCGGGCAAGTGGCTTAACCTCTCTGAGCCTCAGTGTCCTCACATGTAAAATGGGGATAATTATTACACCGAACTCAGGATCAAGTGAGTCAGTATGTGTAAAGGGCCAGGACAGCGCTTGGCACACTGTAGGTACTTAATAAATGTTGGATACTGTTATTTATTTTCATTTCTAGTTGCAACAAACTTTTGCTCTTTAAACACTTGTATTTAAATACAAGCTTCCTTTCAAAATAAATTAAAGTAAAAAGTGGGGGAGGAGTGTAAAATAAAAAAAAACCGTAAGTGTACAGGTAAAGAGAATAGGGCAAAAGTCACACGAGTATGTCTGGCGAATGAAATTTGGGCAGCCCTGAACTGGAGGGTGATGGTAGTAAGCCTATGACTCAGCTGGCACTGGGTGGAAACATAAAGCTATTTTCAGTGTCAACATAAGGACAAGGTCTGTTCCTTCAGTCTCAGTCTTGCAGACTTCTCCCCACCCCCTCATCCTGTGGAACCCCAAGCCCTGGGGGGTTTCCCAGGCAACCAGGGAGACTTTGGAAAGAGGGGTTTCAACAGTCAGGGGGCTGTGGCCGCTAGAGGAAGATGAGGCTGTGGACCTCAGGGCAGGAACAGCCCCAGAGCTGCCTGAGTTTCACCCACATCCCTCTGAGCCGGGGGCGGCTGGCCGCTGACTGCAGCAATGGCTGGTCCTGCAAGACTTGGGCAGCCACAGCGGTATTAGGACTCTCCTCGGCTCCAGGGATGTTTGCTTTCTGTGGGCCTCTTCCTCCATGCAAAGAATATTTTAAATCATAGTTTACAACTGCATTGTATAAAGATGGATATAATCCAGGCTGGATTCATTATGAGATTGCCATTATTATTATATCTTTTTTCTTCTGATTTTAAAAGAAATTAAAAGTAAAGCATTTTGTGGGCCCTAAAAGCATGTGAGCACCAGGGCCTGTCACTGTGCCTCTTGGGGAAGTTGGCCCTGAGCTGGTCGCAGAGCACAGACCCCAGAAACCACACGGGGCAGTCAGACTCAGTTCAGGGTCTGCTGAGGTGACCCTCTCAGAGCCTTGCCAGGCAAACCGGGCAAGTTGGTTAACCTCTCTGGGCCCTCTTTTCCTCGTGTTGGGAGGCAACGCAGTGGAGTGGTTAGGAACACAGCCTCTGATTCTGGAACAGGGGGGTTCATGACCCAGCTCCTCGGAGCCTCTGTCTCCAGTGGAAAACAGAGATATCCATCATCTCCTCGTCCCTGAAGTGTTGGGAGGATTCTACGAACACTGTGTGCAAAGAAAATAAAAATGATCATGACAATAACAACCATTTTAGCAACAAGAATGAGCAATTTAACACCACAAGACAGCCACATGGATGAATCTTGTAAACTTCGGGTCAAGCAAAAGAAGCTGGATTCCAAAGGGCATCGTCTCATTTATGTCAACATAATTTGGAAAATTTGGAAAAAAGCAAAATGAAACTATAGTGTTTAAGGATTTGCATCAAAGTGAGTAAAGCTATCAGTGAAACTGTAAAATGGATTACCATAAAAGTCAGGACGGCAGTTTCCTTTAGGAGGGAGGGAGGGTGTGTGGCTGGGGGCACAGGGAACTGGGGGCTGCCCAGGTTCTGTTCCCTGCCTGGGTGATGACTGCCTCGTGTGTCTCCTTTCCAAACATTTGTTAACCTATTCATATATGTTTAGCCAATTCTCTGTAGGCAAAATTCAAATCCTTTAAAAATGCAAAATAATAACAATAGCAAACACTGATTGAGCGTCTACTGTGTGCTGGATGTTAGTCTAAGCTTCTAAGCACAGTGCCTGGCACGTAATAGCCACTTCACAAATGATAACCATTTAAAGTTACCATTATTATTGCCATACTCATTATATAAAACGGAGTTAATGTGAATTGTTTCAAAGGGCTTGTGAGGCCTGAATAAGGATGCATATGTAAAGCATCTATCTGGTGCTCAGCACACAGTAGGTATGTGACTAAGGCAGGTGTTCTTTCTGCTTGTCCCAAACTCAGAGATACTTCTCAGGCTAAATAAACCCTCCTGAAATCCCCAACTAATCCCTCCCCAGGCCCATGCCCTTTGCATGCCCGCCCCTGCCAGCTGCCCACAGAAAGAATCTGGCTGACAGCTTGTCTCCATCCTCACTTTGATCCTCCTCCCCTGCCCAGTCCTGCCTGATGAGCTCATGCCCCAGTAAGACCTTCCATCACCTGTTCTGTGAGCCTGGCCTAAGGAGGGTGGGAGCTGGGAGAGATGCCTCTCTCTGGCACAGCCCTGGCTCTGTTTTCCATTCTCGCGACCCTCATCACAGCCTCACCAAAGTACCATGTTCCTCATGTTGGAGTATTTGCATCCAAAAAGAGCAACTTGGGATCAGCCAGAGTTTTAGGGCTAGAAACGCTTATCCAAAGATGAATGGAGGCTCTAGTAAGTGCGCATCTAGTCAGAGGATGAACCTCTATTAGTGGAATCTCAGGTCTAGGACAAGTAAGTGGAAGAGAAGTTCGAGGAGGATGGGCAGAGAGGGCCTCCCTAGAGTATGATAATATAGTCTGCCATTTATTTATTGGGCACCTATTATGTGCCAGGTTCATCGCATCTATTACATCTCATTTTCACAAAGTACTTATTATTATACCCATTTCATAGGTTAGACATGATGAGGGCAGCATCCCCTGCTAAGCATCTATGAGGGGCCAGGTGCTATTATGCAAAGGGCTCAGGATCCTCCCCATAATCTGAGTTGTGGAGACTGTCAGGGTCCGGAGAAGGGCTTGCCCAGAGTCCAGAGATGGGGTTTGAACCCATATCTGTGCAGTCTCAATGCCTCTTGTCAGCTACATCTGTCCCTAACACCCATCTGGCACCAGCATTCCCTGTCTAGGTTTGTAGTGAGTGGGGCTGCTCAATTTTAAAAGGAAGGAAATTAGCACCCTTGGAAATGT